AATTAAATCGTTTATAGTTCCTCTATTTTCAATCATCCCAAATCATTTCCAGCCCAAGACCTGCGGACCGGTTTGTATTTTCAACTGAGAATTTGTCTGGATTTTGCTGGGCATTAGGAGTTGGGTGGGAAAGAAACGCACGACATATTTTACGAGAGGAAAAAGAAAGGACAGAAGAAGACGTAGAGGAGAGAGAAAGAGGTTTTAATATAATTTGTTTAATTATTCCACTATCTTAACCGGCAGAGCAAGTTGGCCGTAATTTACAACTCACTCTACTCATCTCATACATATAATTATGTTGGAGACAAATAAAGAGGAAGATGAAGAGAGAGTGCTTTTCTCTCACTCCTACAACATTTCCTTGTCCAATCCTTCTAAACGCTTTTGAAGAACTGAAATTTGGAATCCTGGGAAGGTCGATCTTTTCTTTTTGACCTTTTCCTTGATCAACCCACTTTTTTTCTCTCTAATCTTTTTCTATTAAAGAATTTTATAAATTTTAGTCCTATCCACTTACGTTGTTTCATCAATATTATCTCTTCTTCTTCGACCTGCCAAACGAATTAAGTCAAAGCAAACAGGATATTTCAAAGACGCATAGAATTGAATAATCATTTGATATCATATCATCATACCGTACTTCGTAAAAGGCCAGTGACATTTAACCAGAAACAAGAAACAAGAAAGTCGTTCATCTATAATATGAACTTGTCTAAAAGAGTTGTTTATAATATGAAGTCAAGTCAAAACGTTTTGAAATACACGTTTTTTTATTAAAACACATATTTTTTGAATATTGATTGAAACATATATATACATATATATATATATATATATATTGTCTGTATTTGTAATATTAACGAGTGTATACGTGTGGACAGCTAGCATCTTTACAAGTTGGCAGCTGCAAAATCCAACTAAAATGGTAGGTAAAGAACTAATTTAAACAATATTAAATTGTTAAGTCGTCTTTTTATCATACTACAGGAAAATGATAGAAACGTGCCTGACTAGGTCAGGCCTTTCTACCAAAAAATAGGAACGACACGTTCTCCCTACTTATCAGTAACAAAAACATTTTTTTCCTTGCTTTCATGAAAATTATATTAGTACGATTAACGATGCCTCAATACAATATATATTTATATATATTGTTTTTCTTCCTCATGAAAATATATTATAAATGTTTTATGCCAACGCAACCTATAATTAGAGTCAAATTTGACCAGCTATTACGGGTTTATATGCATGTTTAATTCACTGATTCGAATTTTTAATTCGAATTAAAATGTGACTTTATGTAAGAGTTTTTTATTGTAGTAAAAAAGTTAGATGTGACTGTTTCTAAGAGTTTTTTATTGTAATAAAACTCGAATTCTAAACTCAAATCAGTGAGATAAACATGGCATACATTTATATACCTCTATATAAACAGATGTTAACATTATTAATTTTTAATAAATATAAATCTCTCAATAATAAATACATTCATGTGTTTTAGTAGTACACATATATTTCTATACTATATATGAAAGAGGGGATGAAGTTCAACCTATTGTTAAATCAATCCAATGTTTTAAATTACTTCTTTTTTCAAATAGTTTAATATAATGGCTTAGATTAATCCACATGACTCATATTATGTTGACACCTGATCATATCTTTATTCAACTTAACCACACATCCATTTTTCCCATCAAAGGGCACAACTACAATAACTTTTAATTTTTTTTTTTTTTTTTTTTTTTTTTTTTTTTGCGGTCAAGCAACAATTTAGGTATAATTTTTTAAAGAGAAAATGTACAACAATAAAAAAATTCATAATCTTCTTGATCTTCATTCAAAATATTATTTGGAAAAAAGTAATTAACCTTAAAGATTATAGAAAAAACTAACCAAAATAAAAAATTTGTATACCTACCTGTTGATGGTCGGTTTTCGTCAACAAGACTGCACCGGATTACCTTGCGGTGGCCCGTTGGGTTGCCGGTTAAAACTTGTAATTTAACAAAGTATTCTTGAGTTTGTGTTTTGACACTTTGGATGTACTGTGAAGAGAATTTAATATTGTGTTTATGAAAGTAAAAACGCGCGAAAGTTTTATAGCGGTTCACCTTTATGAAAAAAGAGTTACATCCACTGTACTGTATTTCTCTCTTTTGTTCCTTACAGGTTACATAAAAAATCTCTCTCTTTTCTCTCGGGGGCTTTGCCCCTTTTATAGCTTATAAGTTATATATGAACATTATCCAACGGTGGGCTGCTTTTAGGGCCTTTTGACGGTTCCTCGCAAGTGGCCCATCCACCGAGTGGCCTACTATCTCATTTGCCTAGACCGTAGCCTGTCAGCGCCTGTTAGACTGTTCACTCATCCAATTTGTCCCCTATTACGGCTCTGCAGTTCCTCTGTAATTTTCAACCGTCCATTTCAGGCGGTTTAGGGGCTCGTAATCATTCCCACTGACTTACTCCGAACCCAGACATAACTTTGGGATTTCCAACTTGTTACGTCAGAGATCTTTCTTGGGGCATGGGCCCAGTTGCCTCCGTTCTACCCTCGGCGCTCGCACCATACTAAGCAAGGTGTAGTCTCTCTCCCCGTCAACCCTATCATGGCACTTCTGATGCGAAGATTATATAGGCATCGACTGCATGTAAGGTCGACGGTATTATGAATCGCCCCATATGATCAGCCCTTTCACTTCATAAGGGGGTACGAGTTCTAGGCGCCGACAGCTACCTAACGTGGCAAGTATAGGGCCACGTGTTGCATGGTCATCATCCGACGCGTCGATACACATTTTCTCATACAACACTATCTAATTATGTTTATTATAATTAGTTTTTCTAATTGTAATTTTAATTTTTTCCATCTATATTTTCATTAGAAAATTTGCATGCTTGAAGACTAAAGCTTATAACAGAATTTTTATTCTTAATATTGATTAAAAAAATGGTTCTTAATAAATTTTTGTTTATACATTTGTCACAATTTTTTTAAAAAAAAGAAAATGCAACTCGAAAACACGTGCCCGTGCTAGTAAAACAATATAGAGAGATGATCACGTATGAATCATCATTATTTTTATCGCTTTACAATGATTTTAATATAAAATACATTATATTATTAACTCCCTAAGCCTTTCATTTGTGTAAAATTAATTACTTATTGTGAATCTTATTTAGCTAAAGGCACATTAAAAAAACAAAGAAAAAGGAAAAACAGGTGCCCAGGAGGAATTAGATTATATTCTAAAACGGTAATTTTTTGAGTTGTTATAAACGGATCATAATTGAATAATTAGATAATTAATTAATTTTTTAATGAATACAAGGATTTTGCGTATTATAGGGATTTGTTTTTCCTAATAACAATTGTTAGAATATATGTATAATTAATATACAAATTTGAGCTTTTTAAAATGATATCATTAAAATTTCTTTAAATTAATAATGCAATATATCAAAATATAGTAGTGTCTCATGTATTTAAATGTGATGATTATTAAGAAAAAAAAGGGTTGAAGTAACAAACGATATTTATGTCATAAAATATATATAAAATATCAGGACTAACATATGACAAATACATATTTTTAGAGGCTACTGTAACCCATAATACTATGGACCTAATGTTAGTTTACTAATCCATCCCAAAAGCTTAAACTGTTAGGAGGTGGGCCAACAATAATTTTATAGTTTAACACTCCTCCTCACGTGTGAGCTGGACAATGGGTAATCGTGTGGGTAAATTAATTAGAAAGCCCAACACGTGAATATTTAAGTCCGAAATATATTAAAGACTCAACACATGATGATAATTTTAAAATGGGGATAAAGAGTACAATTACGGGGGTTTGAACCCAGGACCTCCCGCTCTGATACTATATTAGTTTACCAATCCATCTCAAAAACTTAAACTGTTAGGAGATGGGCCAACAATAATTTTATACTTTAACACCCAACGTGCTACCAACTAAGAAAAATAGCTATATTGGATCCGAGATAACAAGTGTTGGATGGGTTGCTTTCCTGGGAGTTCAGGGGCTTCGTATTTGTAGAAATGGAATCCAAGATAATAAGGATTCTTATTGCTTTTTATATTTTTTTTTCTTTTAGAGTATTCGAGTCATTTTTTATTTATTAATAATATATTATTGACTAATAGTCATCTTTTTATTATTAACATCTAAGAAACTGAGTATAATTTAGAGAAGATTAGTACAAAATTTTTTTTTTATAACAGTCATCTTTCTATTATTAGCCTCTTAATTATAACTACCCTTGTATTAAAATTGATCAACTAAAACAAATTAAAAACAAAAGGGACAACTGAACACAAAAGGCAAATACTGATTTCACCTAAAATTTAAAGGGTCCATTCTAAAAAAAATTCCTAAATTTACTATGCATATTTGATAACTTTAATACATGCATGTATAGAAATGGGAAATATATATAGGGAATCAATGAGCCGACAATTATAAAAAATTTAAATAGCCAAACATTGTAATAAAAATTATGGAGAGATCTTTGATACTGTACGAAAAAAAGTAAATCTTTTAAACCTTTGCATTTTCTTTAGAGCTTGATAATCATTTTTTCGAATACAACTACAAATGGTCAATATCGGTATGTATTTTTTTATTTGATTCCCTATCAGAAAAAAAAAATAAAAAAAAAAACTAAAAATTTATGAATACAACTAAGAATGGTCAACAGTACCGGCATCATTTATTTATTTATTTTTGTAAGTTTCCCTATCACAAAAATAAATAAATAAACGTAACACTTGGGTTAGAAAAATATGAATGGTAATATAAAAATAAGGGTGCGGCCAGAAGTATGAGCAGTTAAGCAGCCTAACCCCAAAAATAAGGCACGTGGGACTGGGCATTCTAACCTACCCACTCCCTCCTCTCACATCAATAAGGGTGTCTACGGTCTGTATATATACCTGATCCGTGACTAGTGTTTTTTCCAATTCAGATTGCAAATTAATAACTAAAGTCATAATCTCTAAATTAAGCTAGCAAAACCCTTATCCTAGCTAGCAAAGTCAACTGTCATTATAGTTAATAATTAATATTAGCTAGCATGTCGACACCCTCCTCCGTCCAGGAAATCCGAAAGGCTCAACGGGCCGATGGACCGGCCGCCGTGCTGGCCATCGGCACCGCAAACCCGCCCAACTACTTCTTCCAGACGGATTATCCTGACTTCTACTTCCACATCACCAACAGCGACCACAAGACTGAACTCAAGGACAAGTTTACACGCATGTGTACGTACTACTTTCCATCTCCAAATTTTTATTCTTTTCATACTATATTTTCATCCAATTACCTCTCTTTATAACAATTTCTGATCATGCTACTTCTGCAGGATGCATATTAATGTAGTCCATCTTTGTCGAGCATCGTAATACATATTCACACACACACACACACACATATATATATATATAGTAACAATATTTAAAATGTGTATCATATCATGTTGAGTACATGCAATATATATATATATATATATATATACATGCAATAGAGCTAGGTGGAGTAATTGCAATATATACATGATCTAATATTCAAATTGATTTATTACAGGTGAGAAAGCAATGATAAGGAAACGTCACATGTACTTAACAGAAGAAATTCTTAAGGAAAACCCAAAGATGTGCGAGTTCATGGCGCCGTCACTGGACGCCCGGCAAGACATAGTGGTGGTTGAGATACCGAAGCTTGGCAAAGAGGCGGCTGTCAAAGCCTTAAAGGAGTGGGGCCAGCCAAAGTCAAAGATCACTCATCTCATCGTCTGCACAACCTCCGGCGTCGACATGCCCGGCGCTGACTACCAGATAACCAAGCTCCTCGGCCTCCGCCCCTCCGTCAAGCGCTTCATGTTGTACCAGCAGGGCTGCTTCGCCGGCGGCGCCGTCCTCCGCCTTGCCAAGGACTTGGCCGAGAACAACAAGGGCGCCCGCGTCCTCGTCGTCTGCTCCGAGATCACAGCCGTCACCTTCCGCGGGCCCTCCGAGCTCCACCTGGACTCTATGGTCGGCCAGGCCCTCTTCGGTGACGGTGCCGCCGCCGTCATTGTTGGAGCCGAACCGGACTTGTCGATCGAAAGGCCGATCTTTGAGCTAGTGTCGGCAGCGCAGACGATACTTCCGGACTCGGAGGGGGCAATTGACGGGCACTTGAGGGAAATAGGGCTGACGTTTCATCTGCTGAAGGACGTACCTCTGTTGATATCAAAGAACATAGAGAAGAGTCTGGAGGAAGCATTCACTCCGATCGGGATCAGCGACTGGAACTCCATATTTTGGATAGCGCATCCGGGAGGGCCGGCGATTCTTGACCAGGTGGAAGCGAAGGTGGGGCTGCACAAGGAGAAGCTGAGGGCCACTCGCGAGATGTTGCGCGAGTATGGAAACATGTCCAGCGCCTCTGTACTCTTCATATTGGATGAGATGAGGAAGAAGTCGGCGGAGGAAGGGAAGTCAACCACCGGAGAAGGCCTCGATTGGGGAGTCCTCTTTGGCTTCGGCCCGGGCTTGACCGTAGAGACGGTCGTGCTCCACAGCCTTCCCATCAATAATTAATTAATCGATCCATGGTATAATTACATGATCTGTGACAGATCAGAAAGATAAAGAAAGCTACATTTTTTTTTATTTTATTTTCCTTTTTAATGTCATACGTGTTTCAACAATAAGTACACCCCACGGCTAGTTTGATAATAGATCCAAGACAGATCTACGTGCAGTGTTAGAAGGTAATTAATAATATTTTGATGAAGGCGCTTGTAATAATTTAAGTTGTTATATTGGAATAATTGGCAATATTCAAAATATTCATATCATGAAATGGCGCTTGCTGTCATTAATTAAGAGAAGAGGGTCAACCATCGGGTGTTTGTCTTTTTCTCCTTTTGTTTTTATTCTTATTTTTATTTTTTTTCCAAATCAGGAGTGCCGTCATTTTGTCTCCTAAGAAGACTTGTATAAATATCGATTTACTCTACAGAACACTGTCTTTTCATGGTCTTCGTGTTTCAAATTATTTGAGAACTCTCTCTCCGCAATCTACTACTTTACGCGTTTCTTAATTTACAACATATATCAATTAATCTCAACGTCACATTATGGAGGATTATATGGTATATGCAGGCAAGGTTATTTTGCAACTCAGAAAGAGCAATTATTGTTGAACCTGAAAAAAAAAATGAACCAAAAAAAAAGCAAAAATAATTTGAGGGGTGGTTTTGACTTTTGTGAATACCCTCAAAAAAAAAAAAAAAAAAAAAAAAAAAAAAAAAAAAAAAAAACTCAAGTCACTCGTAAAAATAGTCAGATCTTGCCAAAAATAAAATAAAAAAACACAAAATCTACGTAGGGAAAAAAACAGAGAGAGAAAGTAAAGAAAGTCAGACTTAGATTCAGACAAAATAGAGTATTTTATATTCTATGCTTGGGGATAAATATTGCCTTGATTGATAAGTAAAATATTATTGGCTTGATTAATAAGCCATTGAGTTGAATCATTGACCGAAGAATAGTTGATCGTAATTCCAGAAGAATATTATATAAAAGATTTTTTCTCGATTCGATGTATGAATATGCAAGTAGCACGCTAAGTATTTAATGGCAAGTTGGCCCAAAGCGTAGAAAACACTCAAATTTGTATTATTTAAGAATAACACAATGTTTGTATGTATAGTTTAATACAAGATTTAAATTTAATACAATACATAATATACAGTATGATATTTAATACGGATAAAAATTTATGTATTAGATCATATTATACAATTTAATTTCATAAAATATAAAATGACGTCAAAATTAAATTTCATGATCGAAGTGATGTTAGGTGTACTTTTTAAAATAAATTACATTTTACCCCCTCAATTTTTTAAAAATTATACTTTGACCCCTTAACTTTTTAAAAATTATAATTTTATCCCTCAATTTGACCCCATTTTAATTTTGTGTGTAAAAGTACCCCTGTTGAACAACCCTACCTTCTTCCTTGTCCGCTCCCATTTAGATTGAGATTAGCGCCGAACTATGTTATAATTAGCCTTAAATTTTATCTGATTACAACTTAATACGTAAATATAATATGATGGTAAACATATTATAATGTAATTTACCATAAACCATCCATCCTATTGTATAAACATTATGCAATATAATACAATATTATATTATACAATACGGTGCACCTAAGGTGCCTAATTTGATTATTTTATCCTCCTCAATATATCATCCTTTATGCACAATTTTATGTGGGATCCACGAAGAACGTTCTTTTCAAGTAAAAGAAGATATTCCTGTCCGAGAAATACACATGATATGTATATGTGTGCTTTATACACGACCCTCTCTCCAAGAATACAATTCTTGTAAACAAGCATAACAAACTGCTGCAACTTCTTAAATAGTGCTAATGATGATCGGTAAGTACATATTCACGATCCTAATAGTAATAAACTAAATGTGATTGTTTAAATTATAAAGTTTAAAAAACGTGGTTTGATCATATGGGTTCAAAATGAATGAATTCATGAAGAAATTAAGTTTTATTATTATTATTGTTGTGTGGGAAAATATGCGTTGACACGTTGGATGACGACCATGCTCCACGTGGCCCAAAACCCGCCACGTCAGGTAGCCGTCGATGCCTAAAGCTCATTTCTCTCTCCGCCATATGGTGAAAAGGCCGACCGTATGGGACGATTCATACAACCGTCGACACTACATACAGTCGAGGCATGCGTGATGTGTTCGCAGTAGAAGCGGCGCCATGAGGGGGTCGACCGAGGAAGAGGTCGCGCCCTGTGAAGTATAGTGTAGGCGCATAGGGCATACCGCATGAATATGGGTCCACGTCCCAAGAAAGGCCTCTGAGGGGACAAGGAAAAATCCCTAGGTTACGTCTGGGTTTGGAGAAGGTCAGTAACACAGAAAATAAACCGCCTGGAATAGACCAATGAGAATCACAGAGGATCCGCAGAGTCGTAATAGTGGACTAAGTGGGTGAGTGAACACTCCAAAAGGTGCTAAGAAGCTACGGTCTAGGCCAGTAGGATGATAGGATACTTGAGAGAAACCATCAAGGGACCCCCCTGTCACAGTCCGCCCAAAAAGAGACCCATATGTAGTGCTGAAACTTTGGACGGGCCGCCCACGACCGCCCGAAAAGCTTGAGTTTTTGCCCGAGCCCGAGCCGCCCGAGAAATTTGGGCCGCCCGCCCGAGCCCGAATTTCACCTTGAACGGGCCGCGGGCTTGTATTAGGCGGCCCGAGCCCGGCCGGGCGGCCCGAGCCCGCCCGAATTGCCCGAATTATTTAAACTTTTTTTTAAATATTAAGTTATTTTGTGTTAAAATTTATATATATATATATTACAATTTGAAATTTGAAATGAACACACGAACTATATAAAAAAATTCTTTCTTTATTAATTTTTAAATTTATAATTCATGATTACCTCATTAAAAACTTTAC